CGACTCGGTGCACGGAGGTGGTTCGTGGAGTTGCGATCGACTGCTCGCAAAAAGTGTAAACCAAAGTACCTTTCCACAGAAGGTGCTTGTCTGAGTAAGAGGTTTCAAATGCTACAGCTTTCAGTATCGCTTAGTGCCCCTAACATGTCTGGTGTGCCTTATGCCTTACTTTTAGATGAAGATTTTATGAACTGTTTACAAGATGTTTTACAGCAGGACCAGGTATACTGTATGCAGTGGTCTTCTGCAGTACTTTGGTAAAATTCCATTTCCTTTTTCAAAGTCCTAGCGTCTGTCACACAAACTGACTTCTCCTTGCGGTGGTCTCCTTTTGAAGAGTCAAACTCTGAATCCTTTGGAGTGAGATTGTGGAATGCTGCTTTGTTTTCTCTCCCATTTAACCCTTTATTCTGTACCAGATATGAACGTGCATGTTCAGGAAAATTATTGCACTAAATTTTTTGTGTAGGTGTAGTTAAGTGCCAAAATCACGGCAACCTCGAGAGAAGGAATAGAATTCTACGCTACTTAGTACTGCAGTATGTCCTATGGGCTTTAAGAGTTTAGAAGTTTTGCAAATTAGTAACCTACTACAAGGTAGCTGCATACTCGTAGAGCTTCCTTTGCGTTCCAGCGTGTTTTGTACTTCCAGAAAAGCTTTGCTACGTCCGAATTGATACATGGTTAACAGACCTGTGACTTTTTCCATGACAGTTGAATTTACCCTTCAGGTCTGTTGGAGCATCCTTTTTATTGAATCACTGTGCGAGGTCACGTTTCTGTTAGTGTTTGCTGTTCGAGACAGAACTCTGTACCCTCAAACTCCGCATCTTGGTTAATGGGACACTGTCAACTATTTTTCCTTTAATACTCTAAAGTGCCTAGCACACTTCTGACGCTATGTAAAAAAAAAAATACCTTCCTAGAAGTTGCATTCATAGTTTATTTTTCGTGTAGCGCTGCACTAGCCAGCATGGCTGTTTTTTGGCTTGCTGTTCGAGACAGAACTCTGTACCCTCAAACTCCGCATCTTGGTTAATGGGACACTGTCAACTATTTTTCCTTTAATACTCTAAAGTGCCTAGCACACTTCTGACGCTATGTAAAAAAAAAAATACCTTCCTAGAAGTTGCATTCATAGTTTATTTTTCGTGTAGCGCTGCACTAGCCAGCATGGCTGTTTTTTGGCTTGCTCCTTTGTGCACTTTTTTTAGGAATGGTCTCATCTCTGGGAATTTTTTTTCCTTAACTAGAGTCCCACAAATACCTTTTGGTGTCACGCTAAATTGGTCTCTTAAAAATGTATCGCTTATCCCTGGATCTTAACAAATTGTCTTCAAACGACCGGGAGACTTTTTGTCCAACGTGGACCTGAAGTGGTTGAGAGTGTCCCACCCGCACACAGTGCTTCCTAGCAAAATTTCCTCTCGAGTGCTGTCCTGGGTCTTCTGTCTGTACGGGAGGTGTGCAGTGGTCTTGTTAATTGGAAAGAAATGCCTTAGCATCTGTGGCTATTTCCAACAGATACATTTAAATTCAGCAAAAAAAAATAAGAAGAATTCCAAAAGCATATCTCAATTGGGGATTTACCCTTGTTTCCCGGTGAAAATTCTGTGCTGTGTCAGATTTCAGAGCTAAAAAAATGCAAATAAATCGGCTTCCATCCCTCCGTCAAAGTGCAGGCGAGCGGTGTAAACCCGTCCTGCCGCGCCTCTGCACGGCGCTTGGGTACCAGTGCACGTGGTGTCGGTGGCTGCCGAGGGAATCCCTAGCGCCTGGCTTCCTCAAAGAGTCCCCAGACGATTGTAGATTAAATACATATCAACGCCGTAATTTTAATTCCCTCACTGAACGCGGTCCCAGTTGGTGAATCTTAAAAATGGCTTAATCAGACTAGGCTTGCTCAGATATCAAAACGATCCGAATTTGCTGTCAAACTTGCAGGTTCCTAGGCGATGAGGTGCAACCATTTCTAATTATAACAAATCTTCAGGACACCAGAGTAAAACAGCCCGAGACTTTTCTTTTGATTTGAAACTCTTAGCCATAAAGCAGAGCATACGGATGGCTCTTCTTGGCTTTTGACGGCAGTATGCAATTTGTATTGTATGTGTCTTTTAATATATATGTATATATCTATGAACTCAGTCTGTCCAAAGTATATGTTATACTTGTTTTTAGATTATGGTGCAACTGACTATATTGATATATTATTTATTGAGTGCTGAATCACCATCTTCTTGGTGAGAAATCTTGCATATTATACAGGAGTGCAATGTATATTCCTTTAGATTGCTGAGGCTCGATTGCTGTGATAAGGAAAAAAAAAAATGCCCTGAAACGTATTTATGAATGGCCCCAACACACAGAGTCAGTCCTTTATGGAATTAATGTAGCGCTTGCCTGGGGCAAGTAAAAGAAAGCCGTAGGCAGATAATTGTGTGGTTTGCCAAAATGGCAAACTGCTGGAAGGAGAGACTACCTTTGCTGTATTTAATATTTCATTTACCTAATGGTTATTTGCTGTCACTGCAGTGTTTATATCAAGGCAGATACAAAAGGGCCTGAGCAAGTCAAGTTTGAATTACCCATTGGGGAGTAAACAACTTCCAAATTCTTCGATTTCTGACAAATACCTTGGTCAGCGTTTAAATTACTCCGTCTGACGGATCAGTGTTACGGAAAACCCTGTGGTTCCAAAAACACCGAGTTAAGGCTCGACATCTTCAAGTCTAAAGAGTAGCCAAAAAAGCTTTTGCTAGCCAACTCAGACAAATCCAGACCTGTTCCAGGAGACAAGTTCCCCAAATAGGAAAGTCACGTCGACTCCAACAATCAGGGAATCGGGGTGCGTGCCCAGCTCCGTCACTTTGTAAGGAATCGCTGCCTGCTGCCGCGGTGGCATAGGAAAGCAGCGGTGCTGGGGGAGGCAGGAGGGCAGGGGCAGCAGCACCGCCCGGGTTCTGCTCTGGGCGGCGCGAGGGCCGCATTTCGGGCGGTCCGAGCTCGCCGCTCTCTGCCAGCACTCGGCTGCGTTTGCCTCAAATCCGGAGCAGTTTGAGGTGCCGCGGCACAGGGCAGAGTTTACGTAGGCTATCGTTAGTAAACGCTTCACCTCTTTTACTTCCGTCGGGAAACGCAAGGGAAGCGCGTCCCTTCCCGCTGTAACTCTCCAGCCGTGCTAAGGGAGCTGATCCAGGCGAAGCGGGGTGCGGTGTTCCCCGTTTTCGGTTTTCACCCGCAGCCCTGATCGCTGGTGTAGTGGGGTGCCCGGTATTTCGGGGCTGCGTTGGCATTAGACAGCTGAAAACTCAACTCTAAGGACCAGGCACGACTTTTGCAAGCACAGTTCCTGACATTTGTATCTGGTCCCCCTTTTAAATTGTTTTAAGAAATTTTGTATATGGAGGATAAAGTGCTTATATATTTATTAAAAATCCTTTATCTTATTTGAAATTATTATTTGGTGAAGAAGGGTTTTGCTTTTGGGGGAGGGCTCGGGGGTGGGGGAAGGTAACTTTTAACCTGTCACTTATAAATGAAGCCCTTATTAATCACACAGAAAGGTACTGTTAGTAACTAATGGGATGTCTCTGTTTTACGCTTTGTACATGACAAGTCCATGTGTTACATTTTGTTTCTATCAAAATATTTGGGCATCTGTCTTCAACCAAAACCTAAAAGAAAAAAACAAACTGTGATTTTATTTGTTGCAATACATTTGAAATTTCAAAGGGTACTTTGGGGCTCAAAATTAGGATTTCTAAGTCAGTATGTGCATTTCACGTAATAAAGCTGTTAATGGTGAGCAAAGTATTATATACTAACTAGATTTTTTCCACATCTGTATAGTATATTCTATGTATTTTGTGGTATTGAGATTATAGAAAGTTTAGTGTCCGAAACATGCGTTTAATGTGTATTTTTAAACAAATTTATGGCAATTAAAATATTTGGAGAAAAGGGTATCACATTTCAATTTGTAAAGATCTTTTTAACTACTGTGTCATTAAAATGCTTTGTACAATGCAAAACTGTAACTGGAGAAACTAAGTTTAATAAATATCAAATAGATTTTCTGTATTAAACTTCAAAACCACTGTGCTCGTATCTGTTACGTGAGCCTTCTCCTCCCTGGTATCGCGTTTTTAAGCAGAGTTTTCTTCTGTGACCCTGGTGCTCTGGGTATGACAAAGGCAGAGAGCGCTCAGGATTTGTGTCCCAGCCTTGCTGATGTTTCTCTAACCAGAAGCGGTTTTGTTTCTTTCAGCCCTCCCAAGTTAAGGTGCAACTGCTCAGAATTGGATTTTGATCCATTTGTTGTAAAATGGTAGGTATTGCAGCGGCAAAAGTCAGTCTTGGATATTTATTTAAGTGAATTTGATTAGAAGTAATTAAAAGTAAATACTTCTACTTCCAGCTATCACTGGATATAGTTGGGATACTGCAAATGCTATCAGTGTTATCAGCTTGTTTGCTCCCTCTTTCTAACAGGCCTTTATCTGAGGTGCTGATAAGAGCTCAGCTGCTGAGTCTGGACTGGGCTGGAAGCGTGATCCACTTACTGCACTTGCCAGGCCGAGGGATAAATGTCTAAAGTGCAGCTTGAAATCTGCACTCCTACTTGGGAACGCCTGATGCGCACTCAGCAAAGGAAAACCACGGCGCTTTACTCAATATAAATCTTTAATTCTTACCTTTAAATAAAAAACCAAAACAAAACCATTACAAAAAAAAAAAAACAAACGAAGAGGAGATGCAGAGTCCTTTTATTGAGCTCGGCCAGAGCCATCCTGAAGCGTGCGCTGCGGAGGCACAACCTTGGTGGTAGCAAATGCGCTCAAGCTCTTGGAAGTCCTTTTGTCAGTTCATGCGGCAGAAACATTAAATATACTCATTGCTCGCTTCGCTGTCCCGGCTTTTGAACAGTCAATAAATACTTCTCAGGTAGTGGAGCATCGTTAGCAGTAACAGCGATGGGTGTCGTGCATCAGGACGGGTCACTCCAAGGCGGTTCGAAGGAAACAGCGGTTCTTCCTGGAAAACAAAACGCTGTCAGGCCCTGCCCGCTGCTGGTGCACTTCACCTGCGTTCATCAGTAGAAGCAAATGATGCATTTCAAATGCATGCAAAATGACAGCCCGACTGCCGTGCCCTATCCTATTTACATAGGATAGAAAACGGATATATTCTATCCTGTCTGCTTTCGGGTGTGTGTACAGTAGGTGCCACACAAGATCAGCTTTTGGTCACTTCAGTGGTAATTTTAACTCATCAATTTAGCTAGATCTAGTTGGACAATTTGCTCATGTCTAATGTTCATGTGAACTAAATGTCTTAAACTGAGCTTATGTAATTGCCTCAAAGCAAATAATTTAGGGTAAGATACTGCTTTTAGTTAATACATGCTTTCAAGTGAACAGTATTGGCTTTAGGCAGGGTTACAAGCTGTCTAGAATCCCATGTTCTTTTTTGAAATGACAGGTTATTTGGGGTTGCAATGAATGGACAAAGCTTGTCAGCAAGGGCACTTGGACTCTGCTCTGTTTGCATTGCTTACAAAAGAGGTCTGAAGCTCTTGCCCCATCCCTATTCCTGGTATCTTTTTTTATACACAGAATTAACTCCGTATCTTGTTTGGGTGAGAATAAGTGGGAACTTTAGTGTATAATACCGAGCGTTGCTGAGGCTGGATGTGGACCAGGCTCGGTTACCTGCAGAGCATTGTGATGCACTCGCTGTTATCCCTGCACGAGGCTCCAACGGGTCGCAGGGAGACGCCTCTCCAGAACGGTGTCATCCTCCTCTGCCTCGTCAGCCGCGGCTGTTGGTTGTGCAAGGCAGCGCCGTGTGTCTGAAACAGAGTTGTAGTGTGGCTGTCACAACGGGCAGCAGCTGTGGGCGCTTGCTCATTCTGATGCGGACATCAATTGTCTTAAAATTAGGTGAAGAACTTTAAAGCTTTCTCTTTTTCAGATCATAGCATGCTCTGTTAAAACGTAATGGCTTGTATCCTAACCCTAAAGAAATCAGAAGTATAAAAATTAACTGTTTTTATTCTTCTTGGGAGGAAAGGCAGAATTACTTGCTAAATTATGTCCCAGAGTAACCCAGGCAGTTACTCTGCTTTTTTATGGTGCGCACTCCTCTAAAAGCGCTGGCTCGTCAGCTCAGACTCCTGCCAGTTGCTGTGATTCATGCGAATGGTAACAGTTCTTGTTAACTACCTGGCCGTTTGCAGTAGCGCTGTAAATGGTTATTGCTGCTTACCTGGCTGAGCAGCAGTGAGCAGAGCAGTAAAAGTGCCATGGCTTTCCAACAGTCCATCTTCACGGGATGAGCTGTCCCTTCGGCCGCAGGACCAGCCTTGGACAGAGGAGGTAGGAAGAGCCCCAAATAGAACTTCCCAAGTCTCAGCAAGATTTTTATAGACTTCATTCTCTTATCATTGCATCAGCTGTCAGTCATTACAGGAACAAAGTTCGTTTTGGAGCAAGAGGGAATTACTAAGTTAGCATCTGCTGCAGTGATCTGGTTCAAGGCCTGTCTCTCTAGCTAATCATTGACTCTCCTTCCACTTGTACTTTGTCTGCCCAGCTTACCAGTTGTGCCAACTGTTCCTTTTTTTAAAGCCTACCAGATGGTGTATCTGCAAGCAAAAGGGTGCTTGGCCCCAAGTCTTATGGTAAAGATCAAAAGCCATAACCTTATTTAACTTCTGTGACATTCACAGCGTGTGCAGCTGTGTCACCTGTGGGGGGAAGGTGTTGTGTTATCGAGCTTATTTGGAGCAGAGTCACGCTTTTGATTTTGCCTCTCATTCTTGGTACGTGAAAGAATCATCAGGACGGTGGTGAACCTTCCTTTCCATGCATACAGTTCTCAAGAAGCAGGTGCGATACTTTTCAGATGGGTTTTTGGAATGTAAAAAGTACATTGTGCGCGATAAATAATAAACCTCTTCTTACAAGGATCCTAAAGTGTTTAATAACACAGTGATAACAGAGAGAGAAGAATCTCTAGACAGCTAATCCCAAAAGCAGCAGAGACTGTTGCGAGGGTTTTCTGGCGCAGAGCTGCTCCGCGTGGCGAGGCCGTGGTGGCTGTAGATGAAGCCATATCCACCGCAGTCCCCCTCTTCCTTACGGTGCAGTTCACCATGAGCCTTCTGCAAGGTGGAGTAACTCCCACTCATGTGGATGGGCTGGTTGTAACTAAGAGGAATCTTGTTGGGTTGTTTTTTTTTCCCCATTGTGAAATGAGATTGCAACAGCCTAGAGAAAGGAATGCTTAAGCAGAGCTCTCTGTTATCTCGGCTTCTCTACCGTCCCCTCAGCTTGCAAACCCTGGGACAAGCAGAAGTGTGTGTTGGAGATTACCAGTCTGCAAACAGGCCTTGCTGGTGCTCACTCATCTACGCGACCTCGTGCATCCGGCTCCCACGGCTGTCCCACATGTCTGTCAGGTACCAGATTTTTGAGACTGTGCCAAGTGTGTGTTGGAGATTACCAGTCTGCAAACGGGCCTTGCTGGTGCTCACTCATCTGCGCGACCTCGTGCATCCGGCTCCCATGGCTGTCCCACATGTGTCAGGTACCAGATTTTTGAGACTGTGCAGTAACATAAAGGGAAAACCACTGTAATCGTGTCAAGCACAAGTGGGTTTTGGAGCATGCTATGTTTTATTTCAAGTAGGAAGATCCTGTGTAAAACAGGGAACTGTGTTTCAGCTGAGCTGTCAGTCCAAACCTGGACGTGACAGCTACCATTTTCTGTGATTGCTTAACATGGAGGCACAAGTGCCAGCGTGGAAGGCGAGTTCCTTAGGTTAAGATAATGCCGTGTTGTCAGGCTCCTGGCTACAGACCATTACCCCTTAGCCCGAACTTCACTGGCATTAAATAAAAACCCTTCCCAGCATGTTGCCTACAAGCGCTACTGGAATATTTGTTCCTTTCCTAGGGTTCATCTTCCACCCTTGCCCTGCTTGTCTTGCTTCCCCGGAGGAGGAATCCTTCATTATTTCTCCTTCCTGGCTCTTTGAAAGGGAGGAAATGGCACAGTTGAGTCATGGCACATCAAACAGCTGAACTTAAAAAGTTTCTTTTGTTGTGAATTTCTCAATTGTTTTTCCCATCCGAGTTCTAATTTTTGCTGTTTTCCCTAGGCACTATGGGAGAACAGAGGAAAGAAAAGAAGAGGCAGCAGCTGCAGCCTTGACTTCGCCTGAGGAGCACAGGATCTGAGCTGACAGCTCCTGCACCCCAGCAGCTGTGCCCTCTGCCAGTCATCGCTTCTCAGCACTTTTGGCTAGGTAAGACGAGTACCTTGTGACGATACGTCAAAATTGCTGGGTGTCCTTGCGGGTTACTAACGGTGCCAGCATAGCCCTTTCAGGCAGCAATCTGTTTGCTCTGTGCACAAAACTGAGGACAAGAAAAGAAAATGCAACCAATTGTTTCCAGGGATGCAAGTCCAGGGCACCAGTAAAGCAACCCAGCAAAGGTGCAGCTTGTAATAAAAAGCCACAGAACACTGCTACTTCTAACATCTAGCAAAGGGAGAACAGAAATAAATTGGATGACAGACAAGTTTGCAAACACCTTGTTCAGACTGTGAAATAAAACTGAGGACAAGAAAAGAAAATGCAACCAATTGTTTCCAGGGATGCAAGTCCAGGGCACCAGTAAAGCAACCCAGCAAAGGTGCAGCTTGTAATAAAAAGCCACAGAACACTGCTACTTCTAACATCTAGCAAAGGGAGAACAGAAATAAATTGGATGACAGAAAAGTTTGCAAACACCTTGTTCAGACTGTGAAATACCCCAGCAGCCGAACACCCCGTGTCCAGGAGGAGCCATCCCTGCGCCCCATGGGTTCTGCTGCGGCTCCCAGCCCCGCAGCCTGGGCTCCAGGTGAGCACGGGGGCACCGGAGGCAGAGGACGGCTCGGTGGGGCTGCAGGATGGCTCGGCAGGGTTGCGCCACAGCGGCGGCGGAGCAAAGGGTGAGGAGGTGCAGCCGCACACTGGCACAGCAGCAGGGCCGGGGTGAAGGTGCCGCGCTGTTTGCAGTGGCCTGGCAGCCGGTTCAGGCACAGTTCAGCTGTCTGTGAACGGGGCCAGAGACCTCGGGGTAGACACCGAGAGGAGCTGCTCACCTTCAGCAGAGGGTTTGGGATAAAATGCATTGAAAACCAAGAAATTACTGAAGCTACCACTGTGAAAGTTCACAGGCGCTATCGCTTAGGCTGCTGCTCAGCTGCTGTGGGTGATCTTGGAGGCTAAATAAGCAGCATGCAAATACAAGGTTCCTGCTCCGGCAGGGGGATTGGACTAGATGATCTTTTGAGGTCCCTTCCAATCCCTAACGTTCTGTGATTCTGTGATTCTGTGAATGAAGTCTGTCTCTAGATGTCTTTGCCAGCTCTTGCAGTGCCAGTTTGTTGCTTGCTGCTTGCTTAAGCTGCCTAAGAAAATAGCAATGAACTGAAATGCAGAGTTAAATTTAAGCATGGAATATTTTTGGCACAACTTGCAGCCCCAGATGACTTGTGTATTGCTCCTGTTTGTGCCGCCCTCAGGCTGTTTGCAGTAAACACGAGAGCAGTGGCAACAGCCCTAAGACTGAGCTCAATCTCATGTGCTTTTTAAATGTACATTAAGAGCCCCCCAAAAATAAAGCATTTGGCTACAAAAATTGCATAGCCCCAACTTCCTGAAGTGAGAGAAGGAGCATCTTTGCCATCCAGACAGCCCAGCCCCAAGTGCACCACAAATCTAATGTGGGGAAATGTCACTCCTGCCCCATGGATAAGATAAACTCAGTACCAGCTACAGGAATAGCACAGCAGGGAGATAAATGCGTTGTGTGACGCGGTGTGAGAGCTCCAGATAGCGGAAGGAAAGAAAAATAAAGGATAAAGAAACCAGCCTGATGTTGTGGACTGTGAGCAGCAATGCTGTCAGAGCCTCAGGGTGAATTTCCTTGTCACGCACTGCAGTAACTTTACCACTAGCGTTTGTTTTTAAATCATGGTCAGGTGTTAAACAGTCGGGTTTCTCCTTGTAGTTGCCAAGAAGAAACTTCTAATCCAGCCCAATAACACTAAGCAGATAACAGAATTGCAGTTTATCATCCGATTAATTAATATGATAACCAGGTACTTAGTATCACAGAACAGCCTGGGTTGGAAGTGACGTTGAAAGATCACCTGGTCCAACCTTTCATTGGAAGGAAGCCCGGGTGAATTATCCAGCATCCTAAAAACCCACAGCAACAGGGGATTTTTCCTGTTATTCCCTCCACCACAGCCCTGGGGAGGCTGTTCCAGCCCGTGGTCGCTCCCACTGTAAAATTTCCTTCCTTGCACCGAGATGAAACCTCTCCCACTGCAGCTTGCACCCACTGCCCCATATCTACTGACTGCATGGGGCTCCTTGTGAAGGGAGAGCCCCTATACAGAGGGGCAAGGTACACGTTCAATCCTGAGCCCTCGGCCAGCTCCAGACCAAATCAGGTGGCCTGTTTGTTTTTCCCAGATGTCAAGGTTACAGGAAAAAGCAGCAGCTGGGAATGGAAAGATAAGAGGGAGCAATGAGCTTACCTCTGAGCCGTTACTGCAAACCATCTCTAGCTGAAGGCAGACATTGCTACCAAGAAACATTCCAAAGAAACAGGAGTCAAAACAGGCTGGAAATGCTCTAATTTAAAAGGGTTTGGGCACACAGAACTTCAGCCCAATTATCACTGTACAGCATGAAGCAGAGATTTGCTGCTACCCACCCCAAACATCACAAGACACAGATTTCACACAAAGTCATGGGGCAAAGTTGAAATTTATTAGACCAGACTTATCTCCCTCTTAATACCCATCCAGTCATGCGAACAAGCTTAGCGACACCAAGGTGATAACACACCGAGGTAACGATCTCCTTATTAATTTGATCACTGGTCGTTTTCATAGTCAGCGGGGTTCTTCCTCTTCAGTCTCTCAAACTCTTGATTCCCCCAGGAATAAATGAGATAGGCCGCTACGAAGGCTGCAAAGGAAAGGGCACACTCACAAATCCCACTGCTAAAAAACCACCACCGGGCTTCCACAACAGCATCACGCAACCCCACCACGACACAAACGCCTCCCCCATCTCCAAAATAACGATGCTGAGAGGTTAAAATGAAAGGTTCGGCGCGCCCACCCCCGACTCGGGCAGCTCCCATCATACTCACGGGGCACCACCTTGAAGACCTGGGAGCTGAAGCGCCGCCAGACGTTGGGCAAGGCGTGCGAGAAAACGTTGGGGAGGGCGCGCTGCTCGAAGGGCGAGAGGCTGTAGGTGATGATATGGCGGACCCGCGCCAAGTTCCCGAAGTGAATACCCATGGCTGCGAGGAGTCACCTTCTTCGGCAAAGCTGCTGCCGCCGCCCGCTCCG